CGAGGTCGGTATCAAGGGGCTGGGTGGCGGGGTTGAAGTCCTCCCCATGCCGCTCACAGGCCGCCGAGGCGTAGTCGGTGAGCTTGCTGTGGACGCTCGTGTTGCTGTATGCCTCGGCCCCATCCTCCGGGTTGTAGACGGTGTCCGAGGCTGTCGCCTTGCCCTTGTGTGCCATGGCGTACTCCATGAACTCGTTGCATTCCTGGCCATCATGTGACTGGGACTGCGAGAAAAACACAAAGACGATTAGAAGTAATGAGAATTGAGCGTTAGAACAAATAAATAAATAAGTGCTTAGCGTGTACCCAGGCTTGGGCGTACGAACTGAGGGGACGGTTGCCTTGGTGGTGCGCCGGCCCACCCATCTGCAGGCAGCACTCCCGACGGAGGGCGTGCCTCTCCCTCCACTCATCGGAGACCCACTTGTCCACGATGGCCGCCCAACAGTCTCTGTGGGTGGCGCACCAAGAAGGACACATCTGCATGCCATCAAGTATTAGAAATGTTAGAATATAAAATGAAGGCTACCTATTCTTCATGGAATGAGTCAGTAACAATGTTTTATAACTTACTGCGAGGTACTGCTCCCTGGTGAGTGTCATGGTCCTGGCCTCGCTCTTCCCCGGGTACCGACGAAGGACGTCGCACGAGTGGTTGATGTGGCACTACAGCCTCGCCTCGTAGTACAGGTCCGTGACTCGGCCCCTGCATGCCCTGTCCTGCACCTTCGTCACCCAGGCGGGGTCATGCCCCTCCTCCAACGTGAAGAAGTCCTGCATACAGACATCATGTGTCCTTTCATTATTTCAAGAACATCTAATGAATTCATAGTATTGAGCAATGTAGTGTGATGTAGACTCACCCAGAACTCACGCCTGATCCGCTCCTGTACGGTGCCGTACACGGCATCCACGGCGGAGTTGAAGTGGTCCCACGTCCAGGGAGGCGACTCAACCTGGGCGTGGGTGACCAAACCAGGGTAGTGCAGGTGGATCAGGCCGCCAAGGATCCCATTGCACTGCCGATGATCGCCCCCAGACACAAGTTCCCAGTTCCTACAGGAGTCAGTAAGAAGAATTGTTAGTCCGCAGTTCGGTTTTCAGCATATGAACAAGAAGAGATGCAAATTGAACGGATACTTACTTGTCGCCCTTGGAACGAATCACCGGCCTCCTCTAAAACGGGATCGGTCACGCCGGGAGCTGTGAGGACCCGCGCAAGTACGGTACCGATGAGGTGCTCGAAGTGGAACCCCCCGCCACCCCCCAGAGGAAGTGTCACCCCCCGTCACCCCCCAGAGGAAGTGTCACCCCCTCCTGTCTGGGGGGCCAGCTGCTGGTCCTCGTCGTTAGTGGTCATCGTCCGGTCCTCCTCGGGTGGGGGGACGGCAGACGACTACACCGCCCTCCTCGGACGGCCACGGGGGCGGCGGGCCGGACGGCTCCTCGCCTCCGCCTCCGCCTCCACCTCTGCCTCCTGAGTCGTCCTCGCGTAGAGCGAGTTGCAGGTCCGGGGCCGCCTTCCGCCCGGCATTTTGTCGAGTGCCTGCAAATACAAAGAGTAAACTAGTTAGCACAATATAGACAAATATAGAGATGCAAAATGAACGAAACATAACTAGAAAATAATAATAATATAGTATTACATGAATTAGAAATAATCCTTAGGATCGACAGCGGCCGGATCATAAGTGTCGTCATCACTATCAATATTGTCTAACATTTCCGCCTCATCTCCATCGTTGTCATAAATGGCAACGCCAAACCGTAATCGCTCAAGCAGTGCTAAGTCTTTGGCATTTTGCACCTCTTCTCCATCGTCCTCATCTCCATCGTCCTCATCAATGTCATTGTCTACTTCCATGCCCATAAGCAAAAACATGTCTATGTCAAACGTGCCATCTAGCCCCTCGGGTTGATAGAACTCCCCTGTATATGTGTTTGGGTCAAAGTTGTAATCCTCACCGTTTGGGACAGGCACTTTGCCATGCGGTGATACCAACTGCGCAAGGTACCAACCCTCAAGAGTGGGATCTTTTTGGCACGCCCATGGAAGATAATAAACTTGCATGGCCTATTGAGCCACAATATAGACATCGTCTCCTTGATAAAGGGAATCTTGTCGAATTTCAACTTGTCCAATCTCAGGGGCTCTTCTCGTGACATTGGGATCGAACCAATGGCATTTGAATACGACTGGCTTATGACCTCCGTGAAGCTCAAAGTTGATCTCGTATATTTCTTCGACTATGCCATAGTAGTCGCGGTCATCGATGCCGGGCGTACGAACTCCAGTATTCGTGGTTTTTCGATTGGGCCGACTGAGCTCGTGGCTTCTTGTGTGGAAGCGATAGCCATTCACATCATATACGGTGAATGACTTGACCCTATAGGGGAAGCCTTTGACAACCTGTTTCAACTCTTCATCCATTTCCGCATCCGTGCGTGCCTGTAAGGTGAGGGCGGATAGATCATTACTCGCTCGTAGGAGCAAAGTTGGATGTCACAGATGGAACGATGTAAATTGGATGGTACCTTCTTTTCGAACCATGAAATGAAATCGGGCACACCATCTTTGAGAAGACTATCTTGTTCTTGAGGGGAAGGATCCCTATTTCCTGCCCAGTATATATTCAGAAATTCCCTAAAAAAGCAAGAGACAAGGGGGTTGGATAGATAGACGATAGTGACGGCATATGTAACAAGCTCATTGAGAACTTACTAAAAATTTCGGCAGCACCTCCCCTGCACGGAGAGGTTCCCAAAACCTACAGAAAACATTGGCACGAAGGCCAACAACCACATGCATACCAAACATATGCACGAAGGCCATCAACCACATACATACAACAATAACTACTACTAACACTAAAACTATGAACAACAACTACAACTACTACTGTCACTATGACTTACTAACTAATACTAACACTACTAATTAACTACTACTACTAACACTACTACTTACTAACTAATACTAACATTAGGGCATACCTTGCCAGCGAGAAAGCGAAGACCGAGGGCCGACGACGACAACGGGGACGACCGCTACGGCGTGAGGGTCGATGAACCGAGGCGGCACCTTTCTTCTCCTCTTCTCTTCTCCCCTTCTCCTTCTCTCCTCCCCTCCTCCTCTCTTCTCCCCTGCCTCCTTCTCCTCCCTTCTCCTTCCTCTCCTCCTCCTCCTCCTCCCTTCTCTTTCTTCTTCTTCCACCTCCCCTTCTTCTCCTTCCTCATTTCCTTCCTCCTCTTCCTCCTACCTCCTCCTCCTTCCTACTACTACAGGCGTGGGGCCGTAGGGCGCATGGGCGCAGGGGCCGGGAGGCCAGGCCTTGAGGGCGCCGGCCAGCCAGCTTCTGGCCTGGCCACACACAGTGGCGGTGCCAGCGCAGTGTGTGTGTGTGTGTGTGTTCGTGGTGTGTGTGCATGTGTCCGCTTTTTTATTTTCAAACCTCTTTGCCGAGTGCGCATCCCGGGGCACTTTCAAAGAAAGTATTTTTGCCGAGTGCCCCGATTTGGCACTCGGTGAAATAAAAATTAAAAAAAATCTGTCTGGCTTTGCTGAGTGTGCCTAGGGTTAGCACTTTCGGCAAAATATTCACTTGCCGAGTGCCAAACCTTGGCACTTTCGGCAAAATAATTGTTTTTTTTGTTTTTTTCCACCAACTTTGTTTCTTAGATTTGTATTTGTACCATGAACAACATGTTCAAATTTGGCACAATTTCATTGTTGTTTGCTATATTTCTTCACTTTATTTACGTTTTCTTGCAATTTTCGGAAAAAATGTAGGTTTGAGCTGCATGGTGTTCATCAATAATAGTTTTGATCCATTCCAAAAATATTCATTCTTGTTTGATGCCCTAGTGTCACCACTTTATGACGCCCTCCAAACGCTTTCAAATTTTTACCATCAATATGCATCCGATATCACGACACCTCGCCAAGTTTCATGTTTTCGGTTATTCGCTAATTTTATAGAATTAAATAACCACTTGAAGCAAGTTCACGACGCTGCCATGCGGAGCACGTTGATCGAAATTTGGAGATAGTTCCAGATTTAGCATAAAGTGACACTAATAAACAAGAATAATATTTTTGAGGATCAAAACTATTATTCATGCACCTCAGCATCAAACCTACATTTTCCTGAAAATTGCAAGAAAACGAAATAAAGTGAAGAAATATAGCAAACAACAATGAAATTGTGCCAAATTTGAACATGTTGTTCATGGTACAAATACAAATCTAAGAAAAAAAGTTGGTGGCAAAAAACAAAAAAAAAATATTTTGCCGAGTGTCAAAGTTTGGCACTCGGCAAAGTGAATATTTTGCCGAGTGCTAACCCTAGGCACTCGGCAAAGCCAATATTTTGCCGAGTGCCAAACAGAAGGCACTCGGCAAAGAGGACGGCGTTGGGTACCATTATCCCCGGGTGCCTCTTTGCCGAGTGCCCAACTTTGCCAAGTGTCTGGCACTGGGCAAAGTTTGGCTTTGCCGAGTGCCTTATTTTGCCGAGTGCCAGACACTCGGCAAAGCCCTATTTGCCGAGTGCCAAGTTTCGCCGAGTGCGGCACTCGGCAAAGGTGGCCTTTGCCGAGTGCCTGATATTTGGCACTCAGCAAAGATTTGAGCACTGGGCAAAGCCCCGGTTTCCTGTAGTGGATATATAGTTTAGAAACCAACCAGATATGCAGATATGCGGCACAGCTTAGTGTCAGTGTCCTGCCTGTAAGAAGCTGAGCTACCAGAGAAGCATCGTCAAACCGGCCGGTATCCACCACCCTCTATTAAACAAAAACCGTATGGCTCGGAAGGTGATCAAAACTCAAAAGCTCATCGGTGACGACCAATTTGCACAGGCCGTGGCCTATAATTGACCTCCATTGCGCATGCCCTTTGCATCACTGCTAGTAAACAGACAGAGTTCCTTCCTGTAGCTAGTTTAGCGATTAGCAACTACGGCCTACTATTAACCGGCCGATCAAGAATCAAGATCGCACATGGCATCTGCCGCCTCAGCTCTCTTCGCCACGGCGCTCGTCATGGCGCTCATGCTCGCCGGCAGCAGCATTTGCCATGCTGCACGCTTCCTTGCCGAATCGACTTCGGCAGCCACTCCTGCCGCCGTGCCTGCCGTGCCTGCGGTGCCTGCCGCGGCGGCCTTGCCACCGCTTCCCGCGGTCACCGTGCCACCGATGCCCACGGTGACGGCGGTCCCCACGGCGACCCTCCCGCCGATGCCCACGGTGCCCACAGTACCAAACGCCGCGCTGCCCCCTATGCCGGCCGTCCCCGCCGTGCCCAAGGTGACACTGCCGCCGGTGCCCGCCGTGCCTAAAGTGACACTGCCACCAATGCCCTCCATCCCGGGCGTGCCGAAGCCATTCTTGGCGCCACCTCCTTCGGCATAACCAAGCATCCTTCCGTGGCCATGCATGTGTAACTGTGTTATGTAGAGACGTGGAGTGCCAGTCTGTCGTCTGATTGTCCATCGAGTTCATCACTCGATCCTGTGTTTGCTGGGTATGCATGGTGTCTGCTCATGAGCAGATTTGGTTGGAGAAATTCTTCTTTTTTTGTTTCCAGTGCTTTTTATGTTTGTTGTATATATACTTATACGTATACTCCCTCCATTCTAAATTCTAGTTCACTTTGGCATTATCTGAAGTAAAAAAAATTCTGATACTTGGTCGTTTGATTTCAGTGTTTGTACTTGTACATTGTACACATATCATCCAGGCTATTTCGTGCTGTTGTAAGTATACGAGTTTAATTTTAGCCACTTTGCGTTCATTGCATATGGAAAAGTTATTCCGCAACCGTCGAGACGTCGCGCGACAGCACGACCTCCCTCCCGTGCGTCTCCTCTCCCTCCAACGCGTCTCCTTCTCCCATGCGCCCGCGCCCGCGAGGACGACGAGGTGGTCGGCGGCGGACGCGTCCCATCGAGCTCCTCCTCCCCCGGCGAGCTCCTCCCCGCGCCCGCGCCCCCAGCCGCGCCGGTGAGTTCCTCCCCCTCTCCTTCCCAACTCCGGCGGGCATGGAAGGGCCCGGCCGGGGGGAGGGAGGCTGGTCAGGCGGTGGGGAAGGAGGCAGGACGGCTTAGGGGCCCTGACGGCAATGGTGGCGGCCGGTCCAGGGAGCGCAGGGGCGCCATGGCCGCAGAGGTCATCGTCCCAGGAAGGGGGAGGGGAAGAAGGCGGCCGTAGGCGTGCTAAGGTTCGCCGGAACACGCCCGCGGCGGGGCAGTGGTCGGCCGTGGGGGCAACAACGAGGAGGATGGCGAGGTCGAGGATGGCGACGTCGTGGACGACGGCCGGTGCTCGACGGCAGCGGGGAGGGTGCGATGGAGGAAGGGTGCGTGAGGAAGAAGAAAGTCGGAGATGGCGCGTCACGGCGAAGACAACGGGTCGCGCGACCGGTCGCGGCTTATATCCGCGTCCCATTGCATAATTTCAGCACTCGCATCTTCTTGGTAGTTCATAGACTGAATTTTGCTCTGCCAAAGGAAAGAAAAAGGTTTTCATTAAACAACATATATAATTAGTTTTAGAAGACATGTGCAAAAAATTGATTTAAAATAAGTCAGTGTTCAAATGCCTATATAATCAGGGGCGGGCCTAGTTCACTTCAAGGAATATCCATTATTTTTTTTCCAATTAGTACTTCTATATGTTGAACACTTCTAAGTTGTGACTTAGAAATCCCACTCCAAGCTCAGCGTCACTAATGAACAAAAGGCCTCTTCAGTCAAAAAAAAAAAAAAACAGTTGGCCCCGGGACTCGGGAGGAAGCAAAGAGAAAGCGAGGATAAGGAAAGGAGATAGGAGAAAGGTGGTGAAATACAAGGAAGCGATGATGACAAACAAATAAGAAAATGGAATCTAAGAGAAAAGTAGAGAAGGTACAGATGTGGACCGATGACATGAATACACTACCCAAAACCGTATTTCCCTGGCGGAGTCAAGTACTCCCTTCAGTTGGCAACCTCCAACAGGAGCGCCTCCACTTTCCCTATGTTGCCTGAGTACCGAGGGGAATATAACTTGACACCGCAAGTGCGTGCAAGATGCAAGATTCTAAGCTCAGCGCACGCTCAAATCCCCTGTTTGGCTCACGTACAAGAGAGAAGGGCCAAAAAATACATGGACGGCGCTCAAGTGCAAAGCACGCGAGATAATTTTTTTCCTCAACCACCTTATCCTCTCCTGCACTTGAGAGCCCGTGACTTCTTTGGTTCTCCCCTAAATCTTTTCGTCTCCATGCTATCTTTGTCCTCACAAAATCACCGGTTGCATCTTGTTCTTCACCGCAGGCGCTAACAGGGAAGATTTCCATGTCGAAAAAGAAAAAATTGGAGCGGAAACCCTTCACTGGCGACTAGAACCGTTAGGTATCATTCAATGACAGTTTTTCATCAGGGGAGATGGACTTTCCCTGTCAGCGTATCCCTGATGGTTACCGTCATGGAAGACTTTCCTTGATGGTATTAGGCATTTTCCCTGACTGTACCATCTGTCATGAAAAAAACTGTTCAGGGTAGTGATAGCAAGGAGCAAGAGTATGATGCTAAGATCATGTTCATGGACGCAAGAGGCCTTGACGACACAGAGGATGTATGTGTAGGCAATACATGCTCAAATCTTTGTATGAGTCATTGGAGAGGGCAATGGGAGTGAGAGTAGGGGTATGTGATTCTCTATGTTTCATGCATTTGACTCTAGGTGTATTTTGTGCATTCAAACCTATATTTTGTTTAAATTTAAAATTTGAATTTAAATTAGACTTCTAAATTATGGATTTGAAATGTTGTTCAATTGTGCATGCAGCAAAATCATAAAAAATTCCAGAAATAAGGTTTCTACAACATGATATACGTAGAAGAGATGAAAGATGGGGTAAAGGTAATATTTGGGACGCGGTTTTTCCCAATCTAGTGGCCCAATCATCTTCTTTTACCAAGATAAAAAAAAGAATCTTGTTTTCTCAATCTCCTTTAACTAGTTATAAAGGGAATTGTTTTTTCTAAATCCGGTGAACATGCTCAAGTTGCATACCAAACGATTTATCATGTGATACGTGTAGCCATGAGTTCTACTACTTAATTATTGGCCAAATATTTTCAAAACAAATGTTGTCCTATATATATTGACTAGAGAAAAAAAGCCGTGGGCGAACACTAGAGAAAAAAACATTTGGGCCAAGACCCTCTGTCATACTAGAATTTGCATTATAAATTTTGAAATTGAACCAAACTTTGAAAAAAAACGGTACTATTTGCCTCCTCTAAAAAGGTGAAAAAAGTCAAATTTCTGGCTCCACATCTAGCATTGCTCAGGCCAACACACCATACCATCATATATCCAAATCCAACTCATTTATAACTAGGAGATCAACAAATGGCTTAAACAACTGACATATGTCCAATGTTTTAGGGTTGATTGTTAGATTCGGCATAAGAACTACTCTATGACTTTGGTGTTCAATAAGGCTCTGTTCATCTAGAACTATCGGCTGGATCCTCAGGAAAAGACATTAGGGAAGAAGACGATAGAAAAATCTGGATAGAATATTATCTTTTTATTTTAGTTTTTTACGTATAATTTATGAATGTATCATGTCGAGTTTTAATATAATTCCCCTTTTCATTCTTAAAAAAAAAATCAAATCACCTGCTTGTAAGTTGTAACGGAGTTGCTTTGTATAAACGAATTGGACGTAAAGTATTTCCCTAATTCCCTTGTTCAACTCGTCAAAAGCATAACGCTGTGGACCTGTGGTAGGCAGGCGAGGTGAGAAGTGAGAACAACCACCAGCCTTTTCTACACATCTTGCATTGTTGTCTGTTTGTTCTACCTAATGTCCTAATAATGTTTAACAGATCAGAGGAGGACCCCGTACGTGGTGTATAAGAAAACTCTTGTGCTGATGTGAATATGTGATCATCATAGCTCTGAAACCAACCAGCAGCTTAACTATATGTGCATGCAGACGCACAGCGCTCGCTTGAGCATCTCCTGCATGTTTGACAGTTTGAGCTCAAGAGATGCATGTGTCAATGTCATCCAAGAAGGTGAGCTAACCAGAGAAAATAATGTATTGTTACATGCAATCGGCCGGTGTCAACCTCGATCGCTGCAGCTGTACGTGCGTGGCCTATAAATTGGCATGCATTACCCATGTCTTTGCATCACAAGAGCTTCAGTACGTGTTCAGTCTCTTGCTAGCAGCTGCTACTAGCTAGTAAGGTGAGAACATCAAGAATCGAACACCCATGGCGGCCTCTGCATCGGACCTCCTCGCCACGGCGGCGCTCGTCGTGGCGCTCATGCTCACCGGCACGACGACCCACGCGGCGCGCTATCTCGCCGACACAACCCCGGCGGCCGCGTCCGCCGCCGACGTCCCAGGCATCCCCGCCGTGCCGAAGCCGCCCGTCGTGCCCACTGTGCCTGGGGTGGGCGGCCTGCCACCGATGCCCGCCGTGCCGACGACGGTGCCTGCGGTGGGCACCGTCCCATCGATCCCCGCGGTGCCGGCAGTCGTCCCTGCGGCGACGACCTTGCCGCCCATGCCATCGGTGCCGGCGATCCCTGCGGCGACCTTGCCGCCGATGCCCAAGGTGCCCGCCGTGCCGAACGCCGCCGCGTTGCCTCCGATGCCGGCCGTGCCGAAGGTTACCCAGCCACCGATGCCCAAGGTGACACTGCCGCCGATTCCCTCCATCCCCGGTGTGCCGACGCCGTTCTTGGCGCCATCTCCTTCAGCGTGAAGCGCTTGTGCGGCATCTGCCGATGTCTGAATTCTTGTGGATGATTGGGTCATTCGATGGTGTGTTTAATTTAATTTGCTGGACATGCTGTTCTTCGATGAGCAGATATGATTATATACTTGTTTATGTATTCTGTTGTATACATGAGTGTATTAGTTGATGTATTCCGTTGTATACATATACATATCATCGCAATTTTCACATACTCATTTTTTATTTTCCATATTTTTTAGAAAATGGAATATATTAATATCCCAGTTTCTGCATTGACCAATGCATATGACTGTCCTTATTACGATCAAGAGTAAACGGTCTAGGGAATCTCAAAAACATAGTTTTGAGCCATAATGACATCAAAGAAAGTTTCTAAAACCACAACTAAAAGGCAAGCCTGTTGCTAAATCTCCAGCCATGTCTTGCAAACACCTCCATCGCGACTGTCTCAATAGTCGTACATCCCATCTTCATCATATGGCGATCATCCTCATTCAGTAGTAGGGACCAGGACCTGGTCCAGTAAGTCCCCCTGAAGATAACCTTGAGTTTCCGCGAGATTCTTGACAGCAACTCTTTTTTCTGCCTTCTCAAGAGAGTCTACATCAGCCACGTTCACATTCCGCTTGCTACGCCGCACTGGGT